GATTGACAGTATAAGTAACAGGTACTTGTACAGAAAGAATTTAATTCACTATGTGTAAAATTTGTTAATCGTACGATTGTTATCAACCTTTGTTCTCGATTTGACGTTATGCTCTTTTGGAGTCCTGGCTAACTCAACGTTAACGCCATGCTGTGGAGTTTGCGTGGGAAAAAGTGATCGACAAGTTGCTACATAAAAAAATCATATAAAAAATAACACCACTATAAATTTCATAAACCAAAAGTTTTCATACTGAAAATCCACTAAATTCAACATCGTAATTTCCATTAGACCCGAAAAGGAACACGAATCTCGGTACAAGATTTTGCTCTCAAGGTGAACACCGTCTTCTTCGTCCTTTAATCGATGGGTTTTTGCCAACAAATTCTCTGCGAAGACTCGTGAGACGATCGACCGCAACGGTGGCTTTATCGCAACGGTTTCGTCGTATTTTATTATTGCCGATTGTTCTCTCGGCCCTCGATGAACCATGTATATATGTGCACAGTGTTTGCTTTTTTCGGGCTTTCTTTCTTCCATCTTCGGTTTTTTCCTTGGCTTTCATTGTCTCCGTTGTTTTCATTGTCTCGTTCGTTTTTCGAGTGGCACAAGCTGCTTCGCAAGGAAAGTACACATACTTGGGTGAAGAGTGCCGCCGTGCCGCATTCTGCTTGATCTCACACGGGTTCGCAGTATTTGGTATTAACGATTCATTCTTTTTCTTTTTCTTTTTTTCTTCATATCTTTTCCCTTTCAGATTTTTTTCTTATATCGAGATTTAAGAATACATCGAAGTAATTATTAGAGGAAGCACTGCTTATGTTTATAAGTAAGAAACACGACAGATAATTGTGAGAATTTTAGGAACATAATTTGAATGAATTTCTTCTGTATTGTAGTTATTGTAAAAAAAAAAGAAGAAAATAAATAAAAAGAAAATTCAATTTATTTTTCTCAATAGTTCATTTTCTTAATCCATCTGTTTCATCGGTACATGGACAATGAAGACAAAACGAAGAATGACCAAGAGAAAAAAGGAACTATCCTCTTATTTGCAAAAAAAGGAGTGAGCGAGTGAACGAGCAAGAGAGAGAGAGAGAGAGAGAGAGAGAGAGAGAGAGGAGGGGTCGGTAGCGCGAAACATCTGGCAGCAATCAAGAAGTTGCATCTTGAAAACGTTGGATCGTGAAAGAGATCAAAAGTACGATGCCGAAGAGAAAAAATAAAGAAGCGTCTCTGAATTGGGTAGTTGCAAACAGTTATACAATGATACTCAAATGATAGATGAAAATGCAAAATTAGTTTATTTAAAAATGAACATGGGTAGATAGTTAGTCAACTAGCATGAGATTACTAAACTAAAAAATAAAAGTAAAGCGAAAAACTTATAGATTTCGAATTTTTAAATAGTGATTGGATGAAATATTAATATTTAATATTAATATTTGTTTCTGCTTAATTGAAAATATGATATAGCAATAATTATATAGCAATATTTTAATATTAAACACCAAATTAACCACAATAATATTTCTCTCTCTATTCTAGAATATAACTAATCGGAGATAAAAAATTTTCAAGGGACAGTACAAAGTTACCACGTTAAGAATTTTGGGAACAGTATTTATAAAATATAAAGATTCAAGTTTTTGTTTATTAATAGTGTGGCTGACAATGAGTAGAAACTTCGTCCAGTCTCCTTTTACGACCGGAGGTGGATACGTGAGATTCATGTGTAATTCTACCGAATGCCTCGACACGTCGACTATGGCGCTAAAACGATATGGTTGAACCAAGAATTATTCGTGTCACGTACCGGTGACGTCTATCTGCGAGTTTGATGTATGCCGAAAGACAAGAATCAATCCTACTGTTGTCGACGGGCTCGTTAATTAGTCGAAAATTTTACAATTTAAACTTCCATCGACACGTCTTTAAATTAAAAAAATTTAACTATTATCCTTCTTTCCCTCGCTTGTAATCTCGATTTAATTTAATCTAATTTAATTCAATTCAATTTAATTTAATTTAATTTAATTTCCGAAGCGCGTAAGCAATACAATCCTTTTAATAAACAATATATTCAAAAATACATTTCATTTTCTCAATAACATGACTCCATGACTCTTTTAACTCCATGATGTGGATATGTAATATATATCATTGCTTCTCCTTTCTTCAACAGCACTTTGACAAAAAAACCAATCTAGCATTGCATTAGAATGTTGGTACCTATAACGGTGGACTCTTTAGTTTGCCGATCCAAAGCTACAATTCACTCGATATGATATATAACATCGAAGCTCATTTCATTTCGTTTCATTTCCCCGCAAGTTCTATGCGTGATAATGATTGTGGCGTGATCATCAAATCAGACGAAAAATCGCCAAAGTCTGTCAACGAGACATATACGGTGCTTTTTATCGTTCGGGATATCATGAATTGCAAATCAGCTTAATATGCATCGTTTAAAGCATTGACATATATGCATATATGTATTTTGTGAATAATATATGTATGCGTGAATAATAAATGGAACAGTATCGCAGAGAAGAAGTTGAAGATGGAAGTCATTTCATCTGATGATCTATCGATCGTAGATATTACCCTACTGCTGAGGATTGTTGCAGAATGCAACAGGTTTTCGCAAAGGAAATAATTCACTTTGATGCATCGTGTCGCAAGCAAGAACGAATCGAGGAACTAGCTGGCGAATACACGCTGCAACGTGTGTAATACATATACGCTTCTGTTTGACAGGTGTAACCAATAATATCAATAATATCGTGCAAGAAAGGGAATTATGTAATTCCCCTTAAAGTAAGTACAAACGAACCTTGAGAATAATGAGAATAACCTTCAATTAACTACTGAAAATGAACAGTTTTAGGAAAGTAGGAAATAATCAGAAAATACATCTAGATATATGGATGGAAATAATCAGAAAATACATCTAGATATATGGATGGAGGAAAGCAGTAAGTGATTGACACGAGCGATCGGTTATTTATTATACATATGTATGTACAATTCACATATTATGAGACGAAGACTCAAACGGAGAAAGCGAGGAAAAGAAAAAAGCACAGCGGCATTCACAACGGAATGTGCACTCGCATTCTGGAGTAAGTAGATAATTTCGGCATAACACCAGAGACCAGAGAGATGAGAACGTTGAGACGACGTTTCGCTATGCGAAAATTACGCGAGTATGGGAACGATAATCGTCGCTAATATGTCTCTGACATAGGAGAACAGCTCTTTATTTATGGGAGTCCGTGTTTTTCATGACCTGACAGCGCCGATTTCTCTACAAGGAATCCCAATTCGAGGAATGAATTGTCTGACAGCTGCATTTAGTCACCTTGGATACGATATTACTCCGTTGGAACGATTGTGTTGTCAGATAAAAGTCTGTCATAGAAAATCAAATTTAGGGAGAAAAGCTTCACATGTAGCTACATAATTATAGGTGTCCTTAATATCGCGCAACAACACGTTAAAAACATGTACCGTATGTAGTCACTGTACAGTGTACAAAGAGGAACAAAATAAATAAATCTATAAACTTTTGAGTATCAAATCATTTTGAATGATATCTAAACTTAGTGGTAACAAACTACATGTCAATGAAATAAAATAATTCTTGATACACACACACTCACTCACACACTCTCTCTAAGCAGTTATTACACCCAATTAGAAGCGAAATAGAATAAACTAAACTAGAATAAACTGTTCTCGATCTGATTATACACAAAAGTGCTGGGCAAACTCGGCAAATCCGCCGGTCGAAAAGTTCCAGGCTTTCTCATTTTTTTCTATCTTTCAATCATCCCGACTGGCACACCGCAGCCGTGCGTGATGTGCATCCGCAGATGCGTGTAGGATGGACCCGGCCAAGTGCAACATACATAAAGATAAGGGCGGGAATACATCATAAAGGCCGCGTTCGGGAGGAAAAGGTGGGACTGACCCTCTTCCAAGCGTAGAGACCTTTGCGCTTATAACTAGATTCATATCCGGACCACAGTCCCATTGTACGTACATATCTATACAAGAATGGAGCGTTCGAACGTACGAAATAATCGAGCGATCGAAACACTCAACAGAGATTTGTTAGATAAACGAACAAAATTATAAAAGTGATATGTTGAGTGAAATTTGTTTGAGAAATTTGTATTGTATAAAATAGTAGTGCTTGTAATGTAAAAATTTATTATAAACTTGTATAAATTAATACAAAGTGTGTGGATAGAGGTTTTTTTTTTTTTTTTTAAAGAACCACGCATGCACGTTGTACATATGTGGCATTTAGAAGAAGATGGAGATATCTTTTTAAAATATTTAAGAAAAAGAAATCCTACGACCGAGGAATTTCTTATTTGAAATAAGAGCGAGCCTGTCAAAATTGAAAATTCTTCTAAATACCGACGTTTCCCGAAATATGACCTTTCCCAGATTATCGCATTCTTATAATTTACTACAGATGCCTTTACATTGTCAATAATTGTATTGCAATCATGCATTCATTTAGATATCAAAAACGCCCGTAATCTGAAAAAAAACTCAACATTGAAGATAGAAATTCCTGGTAAGTAAATTTTTCAAAACCCAAAAATTTACAAATCGATTTTACAAGTATTTTTTGAAATTATTTTCCAAGATTCTAATCTTTCTAGTCTTTTTTCATAAATTATTTTAGACTTCTATCGTTGTTGTGTAACCTATTGTGTTTAGAAGACATGGCGATGCAGAAACAGAACGAAACCAGAATTTGTTCAGAATTTTTCAAATCTAGAAATAGAAGAATCTGGCACGGTCTTTTCAGATCAAATGCACGCCTCATGAGATTCCCTAGTCTATTCGTAACTACAGCTTTTGTACCGTATATAGAACCGATATGTGTTTAATTAGACTGCAGATGTTTGTTCGTTATTATTTCATTAGTTCAGTTTTTGAAAATATGGGTATAATGCAAATTTGGTAGATTTACTCACCAATATAGGTCCTCCGTCTCTTAACGAGGCTGAAACCGTGGCACCAAACCACTGAAGAGTTTTATTATCGATCTGACTCAAACCACCCGGTACATTTGGATTCCTGACGTGGTTATTTCCTGCAATCAAAAACGGTTTTTCATCAATCATTGACACGTTGACGCAATTTATTATTCCACTCCACATGATTAATCCGTCGATTATAATATGAAATATTGTGTTTACTCATTTTTATTGCATCTCCCAATAAAGTTATTATACAACTTTATTATCTACCAAAAGGAAACAAAGGAAAAAGAAATTATTATTAATAGTAAAAATTATTGTGATAATGTCTATTTGTTGCAACTTAAATTCTATAGTTCCTAGCAATGGGACAAATTATTTTTCTAGAAGTTATGCGTCTATTTACTGAACAAATGTTGCAGTTTTTAATGGATAAAATTGTCTCCTCGCTTTAATAATACACTTTGTTAAAATCTTTTCACTTGAGTTTGTAGAGTCTCGGTAAAAGACTTTTTAATTAAACTTTTTTCTAATTTTTTTTCCAATTTTCCAACTCTTTCATAAAGATAAAGAGAAGAAATTTTTTTAGGGATAATAAGAAACATCATCTTTTATTTCTTGCGATGATAGACTAGACATTTTGCCTGCTTGTGGATATCAAAAAAGTTTCGAAGAAACGTCAATTCACACCACGTCATAGCAAATATACGAAGTACATTTTGTCTTTGGAAACAAGCAAGTTTATTTGCTTTCCCTGCACGTGTTTTTAATTGTCCAGTCATCGTTATCTGTGTATATTATTGTGAAGTATTATTGTCAACTTAGAAGCAAGATATTGTAAAAACATCTACTGTACTAATTTTGTGTTAATGTATCTTATTATCCCATTCTCTCTTCTTCTCTTATTCCTTCTTATTCGATATTCTCTATATTATTAACCATTGTTTATTATCAAGATTAAATTCCTTATTATTAAGATTAAAAATGGCTTGTTAGCATGTACAAGTCAATGAGATATAAAGTAGCTATTAATTAATTATGTTTTGGGGATAAATAAAAATACAAGTAACATGTAAGTTAGGAAAATAGTATCCCGATTCACGTGCTAAAGAAAAATTGAACGATTTCCAAGAAATAAAAGTTTCCAATGCCCTAGTCTATGGACTAGGAATATTCCTTGAAAAAAAACAAGGTATGAACAGGTGTCACGGCAGAGAATTCTCAGCAAAGATACCTTGCATTTTTCTTTCTCAATTTTACGAAAGGAATGAACCCGTTAGCCGTATCGGCGAGTAGTGACCCTTAAACGGAAGTTGCCCTTCGCTTCCTATTCCTTAACTCGCGATCGCTGCCGAAGGCGCGTAAATATGGCAATACTAGCGATCCAAGAGAAATTGTTTGAATCAGCCACTTGGCAATAGTTGTTCGATAGTTGTTAATTTATTTACAATCGACAAATTACGAACATTTTGTTTCGAAAATACTCAAAAAATATTATCCACCTCAAAATAGATTGATACCAATTTTAAAGTTCAAATATTATTTATTAGGATAGAGCAATTTTATTATTATTTTTAGAACACCGTCAAATTTCTGTTCGTCATCTTCTTTTTTCTTCACTTGTAACGCACTCGATCGAATCGTTCGAATCGCCCCATTAAACTACATTTTTCTCAAACATTCATTCGTTCGTTCGATTAATTTTTAATTAAAAGTTACTTTTAATTAAAAGATCGATCGAATTCGCAATGAAGACAGTTATAGTATAAATTATCGGCAACGAACGATATCGTGATTTTCACAATCCAATTGTTTCGCCGCATTCATCAAGTATAGTTAACAGTTAAGCAGCAGTTGGCGATATGATTGTGAGAGGCGAAGCAGCGAGAGGCAACGCGACGACCTTCCTTGAAAATGTTTGGCTGGCATCCCGTAAGAAGCGCCGAACCTAACCTACGTGCACGGGCGTGCACGGGCGTACACGACCTTACGGTTTTCTGTATTAGGTAGAGTCGGCTTCTTGCGTGGATGATGGTTCCCGGTATCCAGAGTCAGCCCGTCACACCACTCCACAGGGTGTACACCTCGAGGAGTTCCTCCGCGACGAGATGTAGACTCGAGCATCTGAAGAAGTGACTGACCTCCGGAGAGACCCGCACGAGATACGAGTCGCTTCCTCGTACGAACACGGAATAGCAGATACTACTACGTACATAGTTGCCAGAGATCGAGAGGTCCGATCACGCCAACTTCGAATAGTTCGAATAATAGATGTAGCAACTATTGATATCATCTAGCAGTAATACGTAGTTGAATTGAAAAACATCGAAAGATGAGACGTGATCGATACGTAAAGTGAGAACAGTGAAACTGAATTAAGCTTGGAATTTCAATTGACGAATGAGATAAAAACGATAAGATGCATTCAATTTAATAGTTTTTAATAGGAAAAATGTTGGGTAGAAGACATAGTTATTTGTAGTCTAGTGGTAGTTCCATTTGTGAGGAAGAGATAATATTAAGCAAAGGGATGGAATTCTCTCGGGCTCATCCTCTCTCATCATTTTCATATAATCAACTTTGTCCTGTTGGATTACTTTTCAAGTTTAGTACAAATCTTATACTAAAACAGTTTTCAAAAATGCAAAAGATAGTTAGAATATAGAACAGAAATAGAAATTTATAGAACAGAAGTTGTAATGGAATCGGAAGATTGAAGATTTAAAAGTAAATTGAAGTTCTTCTAGACGTATAAAAGTCTGGAGAAAAAGGAATTACATGGCAGCTTTTCTACATTTTTTCCATAATTTTCTACATTCTTCTTCCATAATTTGCAGTTATAATATATATTCGTATTATAACCACGTACGATCACTCGTATATATAACTATGCATAAACATTTCTGATATTTACTTGTTAGATCGAAGAATATGATTTACCTTTTCTAAAGCAATCCTTCTATTTCCTTTAAGCAACAAGCTAATCACGTTAGATAGAATCTAACCGAGTCGTGATTCCTGAGAAAAAAGCAAAGGCGTCCGAAATTGATACGGTTAGGAGTAATAAACTAGTTGAAGCAATAGAAGGGTCAACGACAAGGGTGGGTGGAAAATCGCCAAGAATAGAACGCTTCTCTACAACCAGTCGGGTTCCTCGGAAGGCCTGCAGACCTCTCGGGTGGAAAGCCAGAATGTGGGTCAGCGACTGTGAACAACTAGTGGAACACGAGATACGAGCCCTCGTTAGCAACACTGTGCCCGTTGAGATTACCTTTCAATGCCTCACGGCAAGTACGAGAGTGCAAGTGGAAGAAAGAACCGGAAAACAGATATCGGATTGAGCTACGAAAAGAACTGAAAGAGTTAATCCGACCGTGCTTCCGGTACATGATCTTTACTCGTGATAAACTAATCGTATTTTTTCAAGATCTCTACCAAGTTTGAGCATATTATTCTTCAAGCTATATTAGTCTGAAAATTCGTTAATCAATCATACCCGAGCAAGTACTATCGAAGGTACTTTAAAATATCATTTTCGTTCAATTACTGCTGATGCGATTGAAATCGTAAGTAGTAGCTATATGTGAATATCAAAATACTTTAGCCGTAACATCGTACGTTATTAATATTATTTCCACGAGAATCGAAACGAAAGATCTTACGCGTTATCGTTGCGTTAAATTGCTTGAGTGTCACGCTAAACAATGTCAATATGATAAGATCATACGATGATCTAATCACGTTATTTGACATTATTTGTGAACTTAAAAAATATAATAAATTTATATAGTTCGTTTATATATCATTAAAGCACATTGTCATTCTTATACGATGCAAAATATGTTCTTATTTAACGTATTCCTATAAAAAACTCCATACTCAAACTGGATATAAAAATTACACTGTAAAGGTGAAGAAACTATGCCCTAAGAGAAAGTATCTTACCTTTGTTGTCAAAGTGGATCAATGTACACCGGTCATCGGCAGCAATGTCGCATTTGTAAACGGCGCCGCCTCTGTAAACGCCGGTTTGAGGAGTTTCAGCCTCCGGTGCACCCACGATTGCCCTGTAAAAGGAAACGCGTCGAATTAGCTGTGAAATTCTTAAACTCTCTCGGTTACGAGAGAGCGAGAACGAATTTTGGATGACGAGCAATAAAATGCAGCTGGAGTTGCGTCATTGGTATACGATGATTAACGTTAGCGATATTCATTATCGCATCGTTAAGGAAAGACGATGACGCGAATGTATTTCCGAGATCGAAATCAATGGTCACAAGCTATTTTGAACAGTGGCGCAAGAAGTCAGTAACTGATCCCATCAATAGACGAGTCATTAAACCAGGTAACACACTTGCTACCGCAATGAAATACATTGGTGACACATTACAGTTTCATCGTACTAGAATGTCGAAGTTGCTTCTAATAATAATATGTATAGCAATGTTAAATAATAATTAAATTGTAATTAAATTTTTTATTTTTTAGTACCTACTACATAAAAACGACGACGACGACAACAACAACAACAACAACAACAACAACAACAACAATACATTGCGTCCTTTTTAATTGTTCTCTATTTAAATGTTCAATTTTACTTCATTAAAAATATTAAAAACACATAATTTCCAGTGTTTCGTGGTAAAATATAATCACAAATTGCGCTTTATCGTCAGATCGTTTCGTCTCGACATAGGCGTGTACGAAGAGCAATATGAAGATTGCTAGCTAAGGTAATAGATCGTGTAATTATCGTGAAAGGGTGTGTCGGATCGGGGATTCTATCTTAAAATTACCTTGACTTCATACTATTAAACAATGTATTCAGACAGATGAAAAATTAAATCATATATTATTCATATATTTTTCAAATAATTGATACTGTTAATAGCAATCTCTAGCAATTTTACTCTTATATTCTAACTTACTTTGGACTTTCCGAAATATAAATTTTGTTTTTAAATTCTGGCAGCAACTATAATTAAATTTCATTGGCATAAAAATTAATTTATGAAATATTAGTTTTCAAGGGAAACAGGATATCAAGTATAATTAGTTTCTTGTTTGACAAAATATGACGTGTAATTTATCAAGTCAAAGATAGAAGTCAGTACGAATAGTAAATATGAAATAAAATTTGTGTTTTAAATTGAGGAGAATTAGATTGAGAAGAATTTAAGGTTTCAATTCGTAAACCATAAAGTATTCCAGATGAAAAAAAAAAAGACTTTCGAATATACATACATATGTGTGTATATATATATGTATATATATATATATTCGTTGTAGATATTGCCGCAGATTGATAAATGATACATGGCATTCTATCGTCGAACAATAGATGAAATTGACAGAGGAAATGTCCATTTCATTACATTTCACTTTAAGAGAAAATAAATTATTATTTTTTACAATATTACATACAATGAAAAAACATTTTTTTAAATTCATAAAAATCTAAACAATTTTGTCGTTAAAAATTAATTTGGAAGTTGCATCTACGGAAGAAAAAAGTGTTTTGAAGGAATTGTGAGACCTCTTTTGTCGACCATTATCGTCTGCATTCGAGACGTAAAAATGGCAACGTTTACAAGACAACCTTGGCATACTCTAGCTCTTAGACTTCAGTCAGAGCGTAGGTAAAAGTCACGCACACGTGTAGAAACGCGTTAACAACGGTTAAAAGAGAAGCGACAATTATGCGAGCAGTGCAAATGATTCGCAACTGTCGTTTCGATAGATAAAAGAAAAAAAAAAAAGAAGAAAAGAAAAAAGAAAAGAACAATAAGAACAGAACGATAGCCGACGACAAGTCGCAAGAATAAATCAATGAACGAATTGAAGCATCTGATCTAATTCATTAATTAATTGGATAAATTCTAATGTTTTTCCAATTAAACGAAATTTTTATTGCTTCATTGAAGCATAAAAAAAGACATGTTTTTGAAATCGAAATTAAATGCTACACACCCGCCTGTTTCTGTCATATCATTTTAGTTATTATATGATTACTGATACTTATAGTATATCTATTTAGACACACGTTACCGAGTCGGTTGCATTAATATCAAGCCACTGAGAAATACAAAAGTTATACGATGTTGCTCCGCAATGTACTTGCAAAATTTGATGAATTTGTATTGTTATTGTCGTTTGTATTTTCTATTGTAATAACTGAATAGAAAATCAGGATATACAGATTCATCTTTATCATTTACTATGTCTTGTAACCTCGATGTCCAATAGATTCGCGGACACGCATTACATAAATAACAACGTGGGTTGAATCTGATGAGGATTTGAGCTCACCCATTTTGTTATTTTCCTTTTTTTTTTTCCTCCCTTCCCCCCCCCCCCTCTATTTTTGCAATCGCAAGTCACCAATGAAACATATACTAGATAATGGGACTGTCGGGGGCGAACTGATCCCACAGAAAGATATCGCTCCTCTTTCTCCTAATTCAACATTGACTTAATTCTGTGATAACTATTTATCTTTAACTTTTCTTAGGAATCGCGTAACAGTCGCGTTACCAAGTTGCCACAAACAGGTGTGCCTATCTCGTGTAATGAGTTATTATGACAGTAGGCGGCAAAGATGGTTTGTGGCAAGATTCACGTTAAATGAGAGCAAGCGAACTGACATCGACGTGTTGATTTGTATTTATACGATATCGATCTAGTTTAGATAATAGTTATTCTCATTATTTGACACCTACTGGTTTTCCTATGGTTGGCGATAAAAATGACAAGTTAAAAACCCAAGATTATTATTTCAGATCGTTTGATGCGTCTGACTCCATATCTGAATACAGCTTGTTACTTTCTAAAAATCGTGTGTACAGCAAAATGTATCGTATATGTGAACAACAATACTTACAACTGACAAAATTGCAATTGCAAGGAACCTGTTACGCAATTTTATTAGTGATATTGCTTTTTTAGAATCAATTAGAATAACTTACAATTAGAACATTTCGATATCATTCGCACGGATCAACATATAAATTGAAACGATGGTACAATGTCTCGATAAAATTTCAAGGAAGATTACAAGTTGATTTTTCGTTATATTTGAAAATCATATATCAGGCTAATGAAAGCCTGCAGCTGTACCGACAAACATGCAGATGCAGTGATTTAGCGTCTTCCAAATTAGCTCGTGAAACGATTCGTGAGTTTTTACGTCGTTCCGGAATTTTGACAGAATTTCGCGTGTTTCCTTTCACTTTAATAAAATTTAATTTTTTCGTTTCAGTTTACTTTGTAATTATTTCGTTTTCACCACACAAGTAAAAAATAATGTAATATGTACATCGCTTATCATAATCTTTCGAGTCACAAAAATAACGAGAGTCTAAATTTACAGCAATTTGTGGCAGGCACATGGATTTGCTGTGTTTTCAGCGATTAAAGCAGGAGATCAGATGGGACGGACAGATCGCTATTGCCATGAATGGAGCCCCGTCCGATTTTGCCAAATACGGCAATTACAAATGCGTGTCTGTCGTGCCGCGTTATAAGTCAATATATGTATGTATGTATGTATGTATGTATGTATGTATGTATGTACGACGGTTTCGCGTATCGCGACGCCAAAGGAACGCCGATATTCGCCCAGCTCCTCTAATTCATGCGCGACCGCGATTTTTCCACGATCGTGGTACACGCCGCCATTTTTACGCGGTAGTCGATGTCTGTTCGCGCAAAAGGCCGCAGCTTACCTCGACGATACTTCTTCGTCCAGACTAGATAGCAGTATCGATGGATTTATTTATTAGCCCATTCAGGCGATCCTCTATGTTCATTGCGTACGATGCGTAAAAAAATACCTCTCTTGTACATAAATAGTACGTTTGGTGCTGATTCATACGACTAAGATGGATGGACTTTCTCGTAGTTTAGTAATGATTGCGAAGTGAATGTAAACGATAGCTTGCTAACATTCTTCATGTCAGTTTCATTTCATTTAAGGAAATGTTGAGTTTAAATTTCAATAGATAGATTAACATATACGAGTCTCTTAAAAGCCAAACTGATCAATTTTACTTTCCATCGCTCTTTAAGAAACACACATATGGAAAAAGATGATATAAATAAAGGTCAATTCTAAGGTAAATTTAAACAACAGCGTTTAAATTTTTTCGTACTTTTCAATTTATGGAATTGATCAATGTAGCAAAAAAATTGCAACTATATTACTTTATTACTTATTTGTTATTCGAATAATAATAAAATTCTACTCTTTCGTTTCGACCGTGGATACACATGCATGAAACAACACAAGTTTCGAGTCTTCACAAGAAAAGAAATAACGATGCGGATTTAAGATTGTAGATCTTCGAACATGATGGATAATCGATTCTTGCATCCCTTTACTTTTCCACTTTCCACATCTTTAATTTCACAATATTAAGCTCTTTAATTGAACTAAACTTGATCGCAGTATAACAAAAATTTATAAGAAAATGTTGTGAATCTTTTCAGCAAGTCAAGCCAAAAATTTTATATTTTCCTATGACAAAATACAATTTGAATCAGTCTATCCTTTGGACATTAAAATGTTGGATATCTTCACTTTGTTTTGAATTTTATGCTATATGCTATATTACATCGTACACTTAGAAAGAAACACTTAATTCGCCAACACTTAATTCTTTTCCGTTAGTCAAATAAATACAAATCCGTGTATTATGCACACAGATAAAGACTGACGATCGTAATGCAACCTTAGTATTTCAAGCCGGAAATCACGTAAAACTTTGAAGCCTCTACAAAGGCAAGTGCCTTCTATACGTTCGTGAAAAGTGACCGGTGTATCACGTAAAATTTTGCCATGTTTTCTTTTATGATAAATTTCATTTGCAATTTGTTATTTGCTATTATTTTTCCAAAAGTACGATTGCAAATATACTCTATTTTATCTTAATATTCTTTGACGTAACATCAGCATTTTCCCTTTTCTTTTTTTCTTTCTTTTGTTTTCAAATTTTATCGGCATATCCAATGTGGATTTCGAATAAAGAAAAACTAAAATTACATTGTAATATTGCAAAGAATATCG